GGCCGGCCCAAAAATCTAACGACGGGCCAGAATGGCGCTCGCTTGCCTCCGACTCCGGCCCACCTCTCCGACCGGAAGGCCTGGCCGAGGAGGAACGACGCCTGCTTCCGACTCCGACCCGCGTCTCTGACCAGGGATACATCGAAACCTCTGCTTACAGCTCTTCTCCGACTGGTGCAATCGGAACCAACTGGGACCAACCGACCGGAGACACTCGCTCGGTAAGGACCAGGAAACGGGCGGAGCAAGTAAGACAGGGCACTCAAGTCAAACTGCAATACCGAGAACCATACCCCGTACACCTGCAGAACAGTACCGATAGGGCATGTCAGAAGGGTGCCCTACAACCTTCGAGGCATGTTAGAACCCGAGCAGTGTTGTAGGCGTCGAAGTTTTACCCTACAATGTTATGGGTGAAAGCTCTAGTTTGATTTTGGTGAATTGATGAAACCCTAAGTGTTAACTTAATTTATCAAGTGATCTTGAGATAGGTAGCACATTCGAAGTGGTGAAGCAAATGAAGATCATGACATGATGATGGTGATGCCATGGTGATGATCAAGTGCTTAGACTTAAAAAGAAGAAAGAGAAAAACAAAAGACTCAAGGCAAAAGTATAAATGGTAGGAGCCATTTTATTTTGGTGATCAAGACACTTAGTGAGTGTGATCACATTTATGATCGATAGTCGTACTATTAAGAGGGGTGAAACTCGTATCGAAATGCGGTTACCAAAGTGCTACTAGATGCTCTAACTCATTGCATATGCATTTAGGATCTAGTGGAGTGCTAACACCCTTGAAAATATTTGAGAAAATATGCTAACACATGTGCACAAGGTGATACACTTGGTGGTTGGCATATTTGAGCAAGGGTTAGGAACTTCATCGGCGGAGTGTCCACCCGTAGAGTGTGGACAGTCCGACAGTGCCACCCGCGCCCTAGACAGAAAAGACGGAGGTCACTGGATGTGACCGGACGTTGGCCTCGGTTGGATCGGCGCGTCCGGTCAGTAGAAGCTGCAAAAATGCTAGCGTCGGTCTCTGACCGGACGCTGGTGGGTTGCGTCCGGCCTGCTGATGTGGCAGCGCACAGAAGAGTCATCATGTGACTAGACGCTGGGTGAGTTCGGTCGAGCATGACCAGACACGTCCGGTCGTGAAAAGTCATCTCTGGATGCTTACTGGAAACGAACGGACGCTGGGGTTTAGCGTCCGGTCACTTTGAGCTGCTGCGTTCGGTCGTCACTTGACCGTTGAGATCGAGCGATCAACATTTGAAGAGAGGGGACACGTGGCACGCATCGCGTGACCGGACGCTGAGGTCCAGCGTCCGGTCAATATGACCAGAGCGTCCAGTCGGCCCGTGTTTAGTGCAGTGAGGAGCCCAACGACTTTATTTCGTGGGGGGTTCTATTTAAGCCCCATGGCCGGCTCAAGCTCAGTCTCTTGACCATTTGCATTGACATAGCAACCTTGAGAGCTTAGCCAAAGCCCTCTCACTTATCTGTATCATTGATTCATCATCTTTGTGAGATTGGGAGAGAATCCAAGTGTATTGCTTGAGTGTTTGCGTCTAGAGGCACTTGGTGTTCGTATTTTGCTGCGGGATTCGCTTGTTACTCTTGGTGGTTGCCGCCACCTAGACGGCTTGAAGCAGCGAGGATCATCGAGCGGAGGTTGGTGATTGTCTCCGGCTCCGATCGTGGTGATTGTGAGGGGTTTTTGACCTTTCCCCAGCGGAGAGCCAAAAGGTACTCTAGTGGATTGCTCGTGGCTTATGCGATCCTCATCTTGTGTTGGTTGTGCGGCACCCTATTGAGGGTTTGGCATACGATGCCAATTAGCGCATGAACCTCCAAGTGAGTGTATCGCCACAACGAGGAGTAGCTTGCTAGCAAGCAAGTGAACCTCGATAAAAAATTATTGTGTTCATCATTTGATTCTGAGATGATTAGTTTTTATTGGTATTCATCCTTGTGATTGATTGGTTCACTCATCGACACGACGATATAACTATCTTGCTCTCACTCTTTATAATACCGCAAACTAGTTGTCAAGCTCTTTACGGTAGCTAGTTGTGAGAGCTTGTTAGTTTGGTTAGTGTGGCTCTTTAGTTGGCATTTGAGAGCACACTAACTTACAGTAGTGACTTAACTATTGGGTGGTTAGAAACTATATATATAAACTAGAATTGTGGTAGGTGGTTTGTATTTTTAGTAGGCTAGCGCAATACTTGCTTCGCCTCATAATTATCTAACCGGTTTGCTAAGTGTTGTTATAAAAATTTTAATAGACTATTCACCCCCTCTCTAACCATTAGAACCTTTCAATGAGCGCCCTCAACACCCATACCAGACGAACGCGGTAAGACTCCTAGATGCCTCTAGGCATCAACAGTGTTGTGGGCGTCGTCATTTACCATACATAGTGAACACGCACATGCATCTGACAATAACAGTGTTGTAGGCGCCTACCATCGTCTTGTACCCAACGACGTGGGCAACAATACTTACCAGCATACATACTCTCTCTCTCGCCTGTAAGGCCGTCCACTTCATCTATAAAAGGGGATACGCTCTATCCCAATGAGAGATCAGTTCACTTACATCGATTCAACACACAACAACAGAACCACCAGGTTCAAACCTCGAGCACACGCTCGAACACTTAGCAAATAGCGGAGCTCCTGTCACTCTCAGCCCTTCAGACTAGAGCCCGATCGGACTCCTTGCACCTCTATCTTTCTTCCTTCTGTTTGTAACCCCATAACAAACTTCGAGCACCTGGCTCAGGAATAAAGTCACCGACCGGCTCAAACTGGACATAGGACACGTTGCCTGAACCAGTATAAATCATGTGTCATTGAGTGTTAGGTCACATCCGATCACAACGTACAGCAAAACTACAAATATTTACGTATTGGTCACTTTCTGCATCGACAGAAAGAGAAAATGAAATATAATATGGAACGATGCATAGGAAATAACATAATAAAATACATAGAATATCTCATGAATACTACTAAAATAACCTAAAATCTACCATATAACATCGCACGAGTACTACGTTAATACCATACTCAAAGAAAACATGTAACAGAGGAAAACAAAAAAAGAATATCACATGGATATTATTTAAACAACCTAAAATATATCATAGAACATCTGACAAGTGACATCTCGCAAGCACTATTGTGAATACTAAAAAATAATCATAGAACATCTTACCTATAATATGTGAACATCCAAAGACACATCGTAGAACATCACATATATACTATGCGAACATCGTAGAGATATCTTATGGAAATGTAGGAATAAAAGAGTAAACGATGCATAATAGCAAAAACAAACAAGAAACAAAAGGAAAAAACTATACAACAGAGGAAATAAAATGAAATTACAAAAGAAAGAATGAAAAGAAAAGAAAATAATAATCAAATCTAAATAAGTGGAAGGAAAAATATATATAATACGGAACAATATATATAATCACATGGATACTACTAGAATAACCTAAAATATATGTAGAACATCTCACTGAGTATTACACAAATACTTAAACATAATCGTGGAACATGACATTTATACTAAGTAAACATTACATGTATACTATGTGAACACCAAAAGAATATGAAGAAATAAAAACAATGAAAAGAAAAAAATGTAATAGATGAAAATAAAAATAACATTACACTTGTACAATCTAAAAATATATCACAGAACATCTCACAAGTGCTATATGAATATTCACAAATAATCACTTATACTATGGCAACATTCAAAAATATATCGTTAAACATTACATGTATACTTGAGGAGCATCATATGTAAAATAATTATTTATAATAAAATAAAAAACAAATAAAAATTAAGGTAAAAAGATAAAAAGGAAAGAAGAATAAAACTTCACATAGAAAATAAAAAAAATGAAAAGGATAAGAACAACGACTTAAAATAGAACTTAAGGAAATTATGAAGAGAGTAAGAAAACAATAAGTAAAAAGGCAAAACTAGAAAAATATAAAGGAAAAAAATGAAAGTTAACGACTTAAATAGAAAAGAAAAATGAGATAAAGAGGAAGCACAATATTGAGAAAAAGGAAAATAGAAAAGTATAAGAAACGTAAAATAAAAATGAGAGTAGAAAACAATTTAAATATAAAAGGAATGAAATAAAAAGAGAAGAAAATATTAAGAAAAGAGAAAGAAAAAGGAAAAAAAAGAAAAAGAAAAGGTAAAAATAGAAACAAGAAGAAAGAAAAAGGAAAAGAAAAAATAAAATAAAAATGGTGTAAATAGAAAAGTAAAATCAAATAAAAATAAAAGAATGAAAAATAAAAGAAAATAAAAAAGAAGTAATGGACAAAAGAAAGGTCAACCCGACCCACAAATCTATAGCACATTAGTTTTGGGCATGGCTCAAGTCAATAACGATCATAAATTTCCAGGTCGAGCAATTTTTTTCTACGATAAACCATCAATGATTCTTCACGCGACCAAAGAATGAAACGAACAAGAAAAAAAAAAAAACACAGACTGCTAACTAGTAGACACGGAGTCGTGGTGAAGATGGCATCGTGAGACGTAAATATTTTTTAGTTGGGCTTCAGGTTAGCTAATTGACACATATAAAAGCCCAATACACAATCTGACATTTCATCCTGGGGTCGACACACTGCTCCGGAGCCGGACTGGAAGATTTCCACCTGCCGCCTTCCCCGCGCCCCCGCCCCGCCCGCGTGGAATCCACGCTAGCTGTTTCGTGTGTACCGAGCGTTGGATGTAAGCTACCAGGGGCCATATAAAGCCGCGGCGCAATCAGGGGCCCACCTTTCATTGAGACAGAATCGTGTCGCCAGGCAGATCCCCTTCCCCCGCCGCCGAGAGAGAGAGAGAGGGGCAAGAGTCGCAGACAACCAGACCACACCGCGCCGGCGCCGGTGATCGAGTCGCGTCGGCACTACCTTCACGCTAGAAGACAATAAGCATCGGCAGCCATGTTCGGCTCCACCAACCGTAAGCGCTCACCCCCTAATCCCCCCTATTGTCGTCGATTCCATCACATTGGATTCCATGACCTTGCTTTTAAATCCTCGATTCCGTTCTCGTATGTATGTATGTATTGCTACTGTTGCGCTTCCTTCCCGTTCGATTGATTATTCGATTTCATATATTTCGATGGATTGTCCATATGCCTCCGCACACTAGGGTTTCGTCAATCAAATAGGCTACTTGCAGTCTCAACTTCAAGGATCCATGGAACACCTAACCAAACTCTTTTATCTACTTGCAAATAAAGCAGAAGAATGCTTCGGTGCTCATCGTTTTCATTTATATTTGTATAATATATGCTAGCTGGTACAATGCAATACCTGATTACGATTCTACAGTTCAAGTTTCCCTTGCTGCAAGCCCTTACATGTCTCCATAGAGAGTATACTTTTTTTTTTTTTTTTCTTTTTTGCAGTGTTGATTATCTTCTCACCTCTCGTGTATGCTATCTTCATTGCAGCATTCGGGCAGTCGTCCACCAGCCCATTTGGCCAGACCTCATTTGGAACTCCACAGGGATTCGGCCAGTCTTCCACTGCTGCCAACAATCCCTTTGCCCCAAAACCGTTTGGCAGCCCGACCACAACTTTTGGGGCACACACTGGAAGCTCGCTCTTTGCAACTACATCTACTGGTGCCTTTGGCCAGCAGCAATCCACTCCCGCATTTGGCACAACATCCACTGGTGCCTTTGGCCAGCAGCAATCCACTCCCATATTTGGCACTCCATCCTCCTCTCCGTTCGGGAGCTCTACGCCAGCCTTCGGTGCAACCCCCACTCCTGCCTTTGGTGCCACATCCTCTGGTATGTACTATGCATTATCTATTGCTTTCCTCTCTTGCTGGTTTGCCATGCTGATCATACTAGATTGTCAGACGAAGCCACTTTCTAGATTGTCTAATTAATGATGCCAGTTTTATGCGTAATTGTTCTTTTCAGTTTCACCCATGTCTTACAAGTTTTATTTATTTTTGCATTTTTCTGCATGCTACATTGTTCTAAAAATAGCTACTCATGTGAAATTATGCTAGTTTATTTGTCACTATGTTGGCCTAACAAGATCTTCTGTACTATATGTGATGTCACATGCTGTAGGATCTTTGTTTGGACAGAAGCCAAGTTTTGGGGGGTTTGGATCATCTCCTAGCCAGTCAAGTCCTTTTGGTAGCACGTTCCAGCAAACACAACCAACATTTGGCAGCAGCACTTTTGGTGCATCAACTACGCCGGCATTTGGTACCACGACTACGCCGGCATTTGGTACAATTACACCAGCCTTTGGCACCACAACTACACCGGCCTTCAGTGCCACGATTACCCCAGCATTTGGTTCAACATCAACATCTTTATTCGGTGCTTCTAGCACCCCAGCGTTTGGTTCTACAGCCTTTGGTACATCTGCTACTGGTTTTGGAACTTTAGGGACCACAACATTTGGTGTGAGTAGTACTACTCCAGGTTTTGGATCTTCAAGCACACCTTCATTTGGCACATCAGCTAGCGTCTTCAATTTTGGTTCTTCACCATCTTTTGGACAAACAACACTTTCCTCTGGTAGCACTCCCTTTGGAGCAACTCCGTCACCTTTTGGTGCAGCAGCTCCTGCATTTGGTAGGTTTTCCCATTGGATATTCACATTATTTGAACTAGTTATGATGTAATGGTCACTGAATAACAGTCTGAGTACATATGATGTAGCAGTTGATATTTATTGATTCTTTTGTTCTTTCTTATTACTCCAGTAGACCTATTTTATTGCAAATCTTTATTTTTTAACTGTTTTTACACTGTCCAGGTCATCTTATACCTGTTTCACCAATTGTTTGTTCCCTTTGAGTTTCAGGCTCACAGACAGCAGCGCAAGCTTTTGGGCAACCACAATTTGCTAATCAAGCTGGAGGAACCAGAATAAAACCTTATGCTCAAACACCAGATGTTGACAGTGCTACTAGTGGTACTCAGCCTGCTGCAAAACTTGATTCCATATCAGCGATGCATGAATACAAAGACAAGAGTCATGAAGAATTGAGGTGGGAAGACTATCAGCGTGGAGACAAAGGTGAGGAAAATTGTTTGTTTGGGGGATCAATGATTTTGCTTGATTTGCAAACCCCCTCTAAACCATCCTTTACTTCCGTGTATTCTTTTGTATGAGCTGGAGTGACTATTATGTACCCTGGCTTATGACACCTTGAAATCTGAATAGAATTGACAAAGAAAACATGCTGCTATTGTTAGTCGTTGAATTCTTACTCTTGGTAGTAGCAGAATTCTTACTCTCATCGAGAGAGGATGACACTAGGAGTTTGGGTAATTTTCTGGTTTATTTCTCACACAAATGCCATGCCAACCTGAGGGGTTGGGGATACATATTTATAGGCTGCTAGCCAGCCAAGCATATGCCAAGATGCTAGATGCTAACATGCTGTCCTAAAACAGATGCTGTCCTAGATGCTAAGATGCTGTCCTAGCCAGTTAAGGATGCTGTCCTTGATGGGCAGCAAAACCACCATGCAGCCATAAGGACCATATGCTGCAGCCCCACAAAGACCAGCCAACACAGAGACTTATCCCATCAGCTATTCCTTTTATTACAACAACAACAAAACCTTTAAGTTTCAAACAAGTTGGGGTAGGCTATTCCCTTTGTTAATTGTTTATTATTTATTGCTGGATTTCTTTGGTCCATGCAAATTGTAATTTTTTCTTGTGAAACAAATGCAACACTCTTAATAGTTGTACTTGCAGGTGGACCAAACCCTTCTGGAACTCCAGCAGCGGCACCTAGCTTTCCATCATCACAACAGAATGCTTTTGCTCCGACAAGCAATCCATTTAACCCGCCTGCCACAAACCCATTTTCAACAATCAATCCATATCCATTTGCTTCTAAGCCTGCTCCAACTATTTCTTCACCATTCACCTCATTTAGCAATGCATCAGTTGCAAGTTCGAGCCCATTCACATCATCCACTAGTACCACAATGTTTGGGCAAACAGGTGTTTCTACATTTCCAGCAAGTACTTCGCCATCAGTATTTGTAAATACAAATCCTGCTTCTGGTACATCATCGTTATTTGGCACATCAATGATGAATAATCCAAGTCCATTTGGCACCAGCTCATCGTTTGCTAACACTCAATCAGCCCCACTATTTTCCTCATCATTTGCTCAACCGATATCAAGTACACCAGCTTTCTCCTCTGGGAGCCTATTCGGTTCAACTAATCCTGGCAGTCTGTTTGGCAGCAGCGGGCCTTCACTTTTTTCAACAGTAAGTATCCTTTGTCATTTTGTCCTCATATTTTATTACTAGCATGGTTTTTAAGGTGTCGCCTAGGCATCCAGGCGCTAAAAATTCCTGGGCGTTCCACGACCAAAATCCAGCAAAACAAAGAGAGGATGGGAGGGAGAATAAAGAGGAAGAACTAGAGGAGGACCAGCATGATTCAGGGAAGGCCAAGCTCCTATCTTCGCCCCATCCCCATCGGCTCACGTGGCCATGTCAGCTTTCCTCACCGGCCAACTGCAGCATCAGGGATGTGAGAGGGGCAGCAGCAGGCCAGCAGCTCTCGATCTGCATAGAGTGGAGAGGGATCTGGAAGGGGGCGGCACCAGCATTGGATAAGGGAAGGGGAAGAGGCGGGGAGGACTGGAGGAGAGGTGCCACGGAGGCAGCAACAGATGTGAATGGGAGGGGTGGTAGGGAGAGAGAGATTCGCCGCCTGATGGAAGGGGTCTCAGGAGGGGGAGTGGCAGCTCTAGGTCATGCTTAGGGAAGGTTGCATGGGCTGTTTGGTGGTCTCTTGGGCTGGACTTTCTTAGTTGTTCCCCTTTCTTCTTTTCTTTTTTAATTTCCTTTTCCTACCTTCTCCATACTACAGCTCTGAAGTTCTTCATATTCATATGGCGTTGCCTTGCCTCGCCTAGGTGTCACCTGGGCGACTCAAAAGGGTGGCTCGCCATGCCCTGCCTTACCGCCTTAATAACCATGATTACTAGATTCTTGTTATCATTTCTTATTTATTAGTACTTAATTTATTTTGCTTCTAATGATTTAGCCAACATTTCAGCCATCTGCCGCTGCTCAAACTTCAAACATGTTCTCCATCCAACCTCCTCCGATTCAACCAGGTCAGTATTTTATATTTACACATTTCTCTTTTTTTAATAATTTATCTTCAAAGACTAATTTGGGGCTTAACTTATGTTCAAATGCCTGCCTGCATGGATACAACAGCTTCTACAGGTGGATTCCCTGGTTTTTCTAACACTACGAATCAGGCCTTGATTGGACAGCCGTATGATCTGCTATTTCTCAAATGTGCATGATTATTCTTTTCTATTTAGTAATTTCTTTTTAATGGATTAAAACACTGATTAGTTATAACAAGGTGAAGGAAAAACAATATTAAGATCAGTCTAATATGGAGTATGGTGTAGGCAAAGAAGGAAAAAAAACTTGATGGTTCATGGAGACTAGCTTATATTTGATGCCATGAGACTGCCAGATTGTTATTTTATATCTGTATTCTAAGAGCATGGTTTTGGCAGAGATCATAATTATTCCACAATTCACAAATGAGTTTTGGCGACATTTATGATTCGTTTTTTTTTTTTTTGACTAAAGTAATACATTATTCAGTTTAACATGGTGTATCCTGTTGCATTTTTCACAGAACTCCTAGCCAGTCCAGTATGGTCTTTCAGCCTGCTCCTGTTTCAAATCCATTTGGGACACTTCCAGCGATGCCTCAGATGTCTATTGGGAATGGTGGATCTTCACCATCAGTTCAATATGGGATATCAAGTTTGCCGGTTAGTTTTAGGCATTTTCAATTGTTTATGTAGAGTAGGTGGACGTAGAGATAGTAGCAAGATGGTGGTTGTTAATTAGGAAGGTGTGGTACTAAAGGTGCCATAAGCAGGTAGCCAGGTACCACATATGAAGAGGTGCTTGATTTCAACTTCTTACTGTTCTGCAGGTTTTGAGAAGCCTCTTCAAAGTAGAGCATTGTGCATGGCGGTTCCTAGGCATTTGTCACAGAGAAGGATAAAACTGCTGCCGAGAAAATATAATCCAATATCTGATGGCAAGGTAATGAATGACTGGACCTATAAGAATAGAATAACTTCAAAGTTTCATTTTATGATTTGTTAATGGAGCTTTTGGAAGCCATTGAGAAACCATTGAACACATTACTCAGTTTCCTTTTTTTTTATTGCAATATAGGTTCCATTCTTTGCTGATGATGAAGAATCTCCAGCAACACCGAAGGCGGATGCTTTTTTCATCCCTAGAGAGAACCCAAGGAATCTGGTAATTCGTCCAATTGAGCAGTGGCCTTTGCAAAGAGAAACTGACCAGCAATTGACTTTGAAGAATGCTACTGATTGGAACAAATATGAAGGTAAATCTTTTCATTACAGTACTGGAATTTTCATATAAATATTTTCCCCAGCAATGGCAAATGTCAGTTACTGATCTCATTAAGTTGTGCAGATGCTTCCACTGAAAGTGAGCGTGGTAAGTCTGCCATGTCACCAAGCAGCAGGCCTCCTGCAGTGGAAAATGACAATCAGCATGAGGCCAGGGCCATGGCTCAGCATGAGAATGGGAATTTTACTTCAGTCGAGAGGCTATTGCCTAAGCTTCCACGTGCAGATTACTTCACAGAGCCTAGTATAGAGGAGATTGCGGCCAAAGAACGTGCGCAGGCAGGCTACTGCGGTCAGGTGAGGGACTTTGTTGTGGGGAGACATGGCTACGGCAGCATCAAGTTTTTGGGGGAGACCGACGTGAGATGTCTAGATCTGGAGTCAATCGTGGAGTTCAACAACCGGGAGGTGATTGTGTACAAGGATGACAGCAAGAAGCCCCCAGTGGGTGAGGGGCTGAACAAAGCTGCAGAGGTGACTCTTCTGAACATCAAGTGCGTGAACAAGAAGACCGGGGAGCAGTACCACGAGGGGGCAAGGGTGGAGAGGTACAGGGAGATGCTGGTGAAGAAGGCGGAGGAGCAGGGTGCAGAGTTTGTGTCCTTCGATGCAGCCAAGGGAGAGTGGAAGTTCAGGGTGAAGCACTTCAGTGCCTATGGGCTTGTGTGATGTACCAAGTAATCCTGATTCCTGAGTGAGGGATGGACGATGGAAATGTCTTGTAGTTAAAGTAGCTTTTTTTTTTTTTTTTGGTTTGATGTAATGGTAGGTAAGTTGCACCTTTACGCTCTTGTCAAATGTCATGCAGGGGTTCTGTTGAGCTCCTTTTGTGCAAAAGATTTGAGTTGTTGCTGTAAAATGCTTGCAAATTGATCTATGTTGCTGAAAACTGCAGCAGCAGCATCTGAATCCGCCATAACAGTAAGGTGTGCTACCTATATCATTAATAAGGGAAGTGTACATGGAAAAAATTGAGACGTGAATCAAACTAAAAGGATATTATGTTTTGGTTAGACAACTTTGTTTGTCAATCAATTTTTAAATGTAAGAATGTCAAATATTTATCTAAATGATATATATTAGGTTAGTACATAAAACAAGACATCCAAGTTAAAGCTCGCTGTGTAGAAAAGCAAAGAAATTGCATACTAACCATGGAGCACTGTCCACAACAAGCCGGTGATGGACATGGTGGTGGGGATGCAAATTTTTGTTAGTTTTGTTTTTATGTGAAACCTGGGATATTTTGATGTTTTTTCTTAGTATTTTTTTGGTCAATGGGATACCAGCTTGCAATTGTCTTTTAGTAGTGTAGATGTATATTTTGCCTTTTTTAGTTTGGGGATTCCAATGAAATTGTTCTTTCTAATATTAGTGTCACTTTTACATGATTGTACAGGCTATTTTAAAGGATTATGATAATTAATAATGCTTTGATTTTGTATTTGTGCTGCAACTATTGGAATATATGAAATACAATTGGTTGTTTATTGACATATATCGAATGCAATATGCCCAAGACGCCGTAAATTTTCGTGGGCGGGCAGCCACCTAGATGGCTAACAGGGATGCGGTTCAGGCCGTTGTGTGCGGCCATAGGAGGGTGGGGCTGGAGCCGGGAGCGGAGGGATGGGTAGAAATAGGCCGTGTAGTAACCTTATTGTGTGAAAAATAGAAAATCACTACTGCGACCGGAATTTTCGTGGGGCGGGCAGCCTCCTAGATGGCTAACAGGCTGGTGAAGACCTCATATGCTGTTCGGCCCTTTGTGTGTGGCCATAGGGGGGAGGGACCGGAGCCGAGGAGCGGAAGGATAGGCAGAAACAGTGGCGAAGGCAGGAATAATTTTCAGGTGTGGCAAGGTTTACAAAGATCAAACATGTATAGTGTAAAATGTTACATGAATATATATATCTCAGACGGATCTGGGTTGCTTCGACAAAAATGCTCTTCAAATGTGTATAAAAGGGTCAGCAAAAGGCAAAGAATCAATTAATAATTGAACTATTGAAGTATTGATATTCACCTCGTCATTGCCGTTCACTTTTTTCAATTTTATTCAACCAAAGAAATGATGTTTTCTAAAAACCCAACTTGATGATTGATTATTGAACCTACACAAGTGCATGATGCGTATCAATATACAGCCCTAGGTAAATTAATTAATTTTGAAAAGTAAACTATTTAGAATTCTAAATTTAAAAAATACTTTTCATTACGTAATTAATCTTCTTCAATGCCTTTTTTTTTAGCAATCTTCGATGCCATTGTTGTACATAGCGGCGGGAGTCGCAGGCACACAGCCACTGTCAGCCAGCCACCACGCCGTTTATAGCTTTTTTGAGAGAGAGAGAGAGAGCTTCTTTTTGGGTTTTCCCATCACCATAAAGCCCACCAGCCCAGCCGTAAGATACAACAGGTCAGCATGTATTGACGTATGTCATGCATGTATATTAATATATATACACCAGATAGCTGGCTCCGCCCATGGGCAGAAATAGGCCATGTAGTAACTTTATTGTGTGAAAAATTAAAAATCACTGCTGCAATTGAAATTTTCGTGGGGCGGGCGGCCTCCTAGATGGCTAACAGGCTGGTGAAGACGTGAGATGCGTTTCGGACCGTTGTCTGCGGCCAGAGGGGCCAGAGCCGGGAGCGGAACGATGGGCAAAAATAGGCCATGTAGTAACCTTATTGTGTGAAAAATAAAAAATCACTGCTGCAACCGGAATTTTTATGGGGCGGGCGGCCTCCTAGATGGCTAACAGGCTGGTGAAGACGCCAGATGCGGTTCGGACCGTTATGTGCGGCCATAGGGGGAGGGGGCCGGAGCCCGGAGCGGAAGGATGGGCAGAAATAGGCTGTGTACTAACCTTGTTGTGTGAAAAATAGAAAACCACTGCTGCGACCGGAATTTCCGTGAGACGGGAAACCGTTAACAGGCTGACGAAGACGCCAGGTGACCCAAACACTGCGCTGAACACCCCCCCAAGAGCGCAGCTGCAATCATACGAGATTTCGGCCCATGCTTGCAAGCGCAGCCCACAGTCCACCGAGTTTTTGCGCCAGCGACGCATTCCGCGCGGGGTGGTTCACGTGGTTCCGTGGACGCATTTCTGGTACGTACATGTTTCTCTCTCTCTTTTGCTTTCGTATTATTATTATTTTTCTTTTTTCTACGGGTTTTTATTCTTATTTTTATTTCTTTATTTTTTAATCTTTATTTGTCTCTCTAAATTTGATTTATTTGTTTTATGCTTTTTGTCTTTTATTCTTCTTATCATTTTCTTTATATTTTATTATTTAGTTTTATTAATTTTTACTCTAATTATTTTTATTTCATTTTTTATTTGCAAGTTTTAAATTTTGTTTTATGTAGATTTTTTCATTTTCTATTTGCATTTTACTATAGTTTCTTATTTTAATCATTTTCATATATTACTTTTTTTATTTTCAAGTTTTTTATTTCATATGTTAGATGGGATACCTATCATGCTTGCATAGTATATATGTGATTTCATCAATTTTCCTTTTCCTTTTATTATTAAAGGTATTCATTTATTTTTTTTCTCTATATATTTAGCATTTGTTATTCATGTTTTTATTTGCATTTTTGTTCTTTGTTATTTGACTCTAATTAATTACTTTACTAATTTTATTTTTTACTTTTTAATTTTTACATTTAACGATATACGTGATGTTTAATGAGTATACATATGATGTTCTATGCTATATTTTGTAATGTCCGCATAGTATAAATATGATGTTTTATGATGTATTTGTGTTTTCCAGTAGTATACATGTGATGTTCTATGCTATATTTATTTTTATTTTTATTTTTTCTCTATTTCATGAGATATATGTGGTGTTCGCATAGTATATATATGATGTTCATATTGTATACATACGATGTTCTATGATATATTTTGTGATGTTCACGTAATACACATGTGATGTTCTATAATATATTCATTCTGGCATGTTTAGGTAATACAAATGGGATGTTCTAAATACATATTAGTTTATTCAAACAGTGATGTTCTTTTTAATTTTTTCTTTAGATTTTTATTTTTTTATTCATCATTATTTTACTTTAATTAATTAGTTTTTTTTATTTTACCTATATATCACTCTTTCTTGTATTCATAATTATACTTTTTTTTTTTTTTATTTCTATGCATAGTGTGTTTGTGAGATGTTCCATGGTGTAATATATGTTGTTCAAGTAGTATCTATAGTATGTTCCATGATTTATTTTCAATTGTTCCAATAATACACATAAAATGTTCTGTGATATATTTTCGCTTGTTCACGTAGTATCTATGGAATGTTCCACGATGTTTTTGCATTGTTCATATAGTACATGAAACCTAATTATTAAAGTTTAGTTTTCTTCTTTCTTTATTCATTTTGTTCTATTTAAGTATTCTTTAATTTTTCATAACAGTGTATTTTACAATTATTATTATTACTAGCCAGAACCCCCGCGCTTCACGAGGGTAGATACTATGCAAATATGTGTAACAAAGATGGAGACATGGAAATCAAAGCTTTCAGGATAGGAAACAATGAAAAGGAAATGACGAAACACACTCAGAACGATGAAGACGGCTTGCATAGCTATATTTTCGAGTTTGTTTGTAACATCAAAATTATAGGGCATCTGAAAATGAAGGATGCACAAATATGACAGCAAAAGACACTTCCCTGTGCTGAAGATGGGTGAACTGCTTTCCTGTTACAGGTGGGAATTTATCAATAAGTGTAGTGTAGATTTACAGTTGTAAAGTGTGGTACACATCTGTGGCATGTATGGAAAATTTATTGACCATGAATCGGACAATTGATGGATGATTATAGCGCTATGTGTACATAGGATTTTGGATCTAGGGATGCTGCCAAAAAGTATAAGAATGCATCAGTGTAATCGGAGGACGTAGGCATGTTTCGCAGGGAAAAATGTGACAGTTGTTGGATAGAGATCCGGAAGTCAGGAATGTAAGCAAGCAGTTCGATGTAGGTAAATATGCTTGCACTAACCATCATCGTGGAGGATGACATCTGCCCTGCGTCTGCGAATCGTTGTAGAAGTAACAGATGCCTCAGGTGGTGTGGACGCTGCCAAAAAGTATAAGAATGCATTAGTGTAATCGGACAGCTGTATAAGGCAGTGGACGACATCTTTCGCAGGGAAAAATTGCATGTTTGGCAAAAGGAATGCGAATACCTTGAGGAGAGGTTGCATTGACGGAAGCTGGAGCATCGTGGCGAAGCAGCATAGACCGACATCTCAGTGCTTCACGATGCGGTATTTCTGATTGTGATATTCTTTGTCCATGGGCGGAGAAATGGTCCTTTGCCCGCGTCCTCATCGTTGGCTACCAAAGCTACGCCGGGTATGTTGAAGTAGTAAGGCAAAAGTACCGAACTAAGATACAGTACAGATGCCATACACGACAACAGACCTGGTGTAAATAAGATTAAAAGCAGTACCATAACACAATAGGACACAGGCAGACAAATGCAACTTGCAGCTGACAGGAGACAATTGGTATGCACATCTGAATACATATGTACTGAATCGTCATAAGCATATCATTTGGAGAAGCTGAGGAAATAAAAAGAAGGAAAAAGAAGGTCGCACCTGTACAAAAACATAGACCTAAACCTAAACCTAAGCAGATTTGGAGAAGCTGAGGAAATAAAAAGAGGAAAAAAGAAGGTCGCACCTGTACAAAAACGTAGACCTAAACCTAAACCTAGACCTAAACCTAAGCAGATTTGATCCCTGAAAACTTTGATTAAGCAACAATAATGTTTTTAGCACTGTCAAGGACCAGTGGTAAGGGCAAGGAAATATTAGTACTGCATATGTATTTACCGAAAGGTTTAGGAGCTGGTTCTATGTTCTTGAAAAAGTTAAAAGGAGCTAACAAACGGAGTCTTGTATTGTTAAATGGTGCGGAAGATACTACAAAGCAATCCTAGTTGGAAAAATTATTACCTGCTAGTTGCAGGCTTGGATTATGCAGCAGAAACAGTTATCTAAAAAGAGCAAGCAATGTGCAATGTGCAATGAGCATCCTAACCATGTCCTATTTTGTAGAATGGGAATGGTATAAGCAATCCTTTTGTAAAAGTAAATCAAAAGATTGTATATGATGGCAATGAAAATGTGTAATGATGTTTACTCTTTCTTTCAACTCAAAGTGATGTGTGTTTTTTTACACATGTTCGCTAATTTTTAAGACAACGAAGTGAAAGCACGAAAAGAGTATAGGAATGGCCAATAAACAAATATATGTGCACGAAAATGTGGACCTCAGTGAAAATAGATATTAACGAATTTATTGTTTCTTTAATCTTGCCTTTGTGGCAGCCTTTTTAATTTTTGTTGCCATCGAAAGTCATTCATTCAGGTCTAGGTGGCGTAATAATTCTGTAAAGCATGAAAAATCTTTCATGTTGCAGAGTTTAATAAACATTTGTTCATTGTAATTAATCTTAGACCATGTATCAAACATTTGCCATTGAATTAATCTAAGTTTAACTAAATAGCAGAGGAGGACAGGGCAGTTATTCAGTTACTTTGGATCTGCATGGAGTTCTTCACGACATTTTGCTGAAATCAATACAAAATTACAGATGATTACTTATGGCATTATATACCTTCAGGAAAATGAGAGGAAGGCAAGAAAGTGTTGCAGTATATATCGTACCTCACAGTAGTCCATCTCTGTAAACTGTTGATCTTGTCGGTGACAAATGAAGATGTGATTAACCAAAAAAATTAGCTATAACCAAATGAGCTGCTGAACCTGGCACCCAAAGAGGTAGATTTCTGAATTATTTATGCGAAGCAACTATTTTGTTTAAAGGAATCAAGGGATAATAATAAACATTTGATCATTGTAACTAATCTTAGACCATGCGTCAAGCATTTGCCATTGAATTAATCTAAGTTTAACTAAATAGCAGAGGAGGAAGGACAAACTAAATTGCAGAGGAGGAATGACAGATCAGGGCAGTTATGCAGTTACCCTAGATCTGCATGGAGTACTTCACGACATTTTACTGAAATCAATATAAAATTACAGATAATACCTATGGCATCATATACCTTCATGAAAATGAGAGGAAGGCAAGAAAGTGTTGGAGTATATATCCTACCTCACAGTAGTCCATCGTTGCAAACTGTTGATCTTGGCAGTGACAAATGAAGATGTGATTAACCAAAAATATTAGTTACAACCAAATGAGCTGCTGGACCTGGGAGAGCTGCTTCGCGACGGAAGCTCCTGTAGAGGCTGAACGGGGACGCCGTTGGCCGAGCTCGCGTGGAAGGGAGAGGGCCGGAGCTGCGGAGCAGCGGGCTTTAGCTGGGCGCTCGATGGCAAAGCGGCGCGAGCGGGACGGGCGGAGATTGACCGGCGCTGCTCCAGGGCAACGTGGCGACGGCCTGAGGCGGGTGAGGCCGGCGCATCCGCGGGGCGGCGTGGCGGCGGCGCTGGTCCAGGGCCGCGAGGCAGCGCGAGAGGCGGTAGCGTCGCCGCGGTGGTGCTGGTCGGAGGGCGCGAGGCTGGCCGGAGGAGCAGGCGTCGGGCGGCCGAAGCAATGGTGGAGGCCACGGTGGCGTCGCCGTTGTGTTTTTTTTGTTTTAAGACTGTCTCCAACGGTAACAACGCAAACACGAGACCAACCCATTCTAGGATTTGAGCCACGTACGCACACAAAACATTCATTCTTCAACAGCGAACCCAAGAGAAGACTCCCAATTTCCTCCATCCGGTGCCGCTTGCTCCTCTGTCTTCGTCTTCCCCGCGGGCGTCTTCCCGCGGCCCCTTCGCGCGCCGAACCCGAGCCCCGCGAGCCCCTTCGTCCGCGCGAGATCAAACAGCGTGGCAACGCTGCGCCGCGTCGTCTCGTCTTCCCCACCAGTCCACTCTTCCCGCCCCTAGCTCAATTCAGCTCGCAGCTCGCAGACGAGCTCCGCGGACGAGCTCCGGCAGCGTCCCGGCACGGGCCCCTTCGTCCGCCGCCTCGCGAGCGCCACCGCGGGTAAACACCACCATGGCAACGCTGTGCCCTGCCGCGTCGTCTCGTCTTCCCCACCAGTCCACCCTTCCCCGCCCCCTAGCTCGATTCAGCTCGCAGCTCAAAGCAGCAGCCCAAGCAGAAGGAAGAAAAGAGTAGCAACCAAAAAGAGAAGCGCCCCGCCGCCGCCGCCGCTCGAGCTCATCTCGTCGCCGGACTTACCGATGGCAATGAGGCACAGGGTGCGGTCCTCCCCCACCTCCCCGCTGACCCCGTCCGCCAGCACCTGGTGACCGACCGCCGACCGCCTCATTGCCTTGCCCCCTCTCTCCCTGCTTGCTGGTACTGGCTTCCGAGGTTTGAGGCCTCACGGGTCCCCTTGAGTTTTGTCTGTTGCCAGTTCTCGTTCGTGCGGATTTGTTGGTACCGGTGCTCGCTGCTCGCTGCTCGCTGCAGCTAGCTGCCAGGGTGGCGGAATCTCGCGCCTCATTCCTGATTAATTCATTCGGCGCAAAGGGAGGAATCTTCTGGCTTGTTTTGATTTTGTTCTTGATGCTTTTGCTTGGATATGCTGTCAGTTTAAAGGAGCTGCTGGGGTGGTGGTGTGGCCTGGCGAGCCCGGAGGTGGGCGACGGGAGCGAGGGCGCGACGGATGCGAGCGCGGACGCCGGTATGGTGCTCGTGCCGGTGGCGGCGACGATGGCCAGCTCGGCCTGCTGCAGCAGTCACTGCACGGTCTTGCCGTCAGACTTGTTGGAGCTCCGCCTGCTGCCTCCGCTCCCCGGGCTACGCCACCACCTGTAGCTGCTGCTGTTGCTCCTTCCCTCTGCCGCCTCTGTCCTGCTGCGGTGGCTGGTGAATTTGGATTTGCAGGTGGTGTTGCTCCGGCGGCGGCTGCTGCTGCCGGGAGGGGGCGCCGCGCGAGCTGCCTCCGTCCCCACCGCGAGCGGCACCTTTGAGATCCGGCTCCAGAGATTTGCGTCGTCTCTCTTTCGAGACGCTTATTTGCGTTTCGGTTCGGCTTAATGCAAAATGCGTCCTCTGTTTAGGGTTATCTGTTGGAGCGTGTTTTTATACTGACCTATTTTACGTTTGGACTGTGTTGTTGAGACCGTCTAACCGGACGGAGATGGATTGGGTGGAGGATTCTGGAGAGCGCTGGATGGGGCAGGCGGTGAGGGCCACGGGAACCCACGTGGTGTGCATCTGTTGGAAAGCTATATAAATCGACGGCCGGAAATGCAGAACGGTAGATGAACAGGGAACTGTGAGGGGGAGGCGGATGGGTACTGTGGAACTACAGTGTCGTACACGAAAAACAAAGAGTTTTATAGATAGATAGATAGATATACCCGTGTGATATATTCTGGTTGAATACCTTTTTATTAGACTTTATATGGTCTGTTTATTTAATTATAAAACTATTTTACAAGTATCACAAACATTTATATGGTATAGTGGAGGGGAGTGACATCTTTGAGTCAACAAGTCTTGAGTTTGAATCTTGCCATGGACAATTTTTTCTTTTTATTTCTCCTTTACATGCATTTACGTGCTTCTATCATCTTGGATGGATTCGAAGAGCAACGGGCCATGTCGCACGAGCTGGGCCCCAAGCCCGCAGGTGGGAACATGAGATGGGCCGGGCAGGAAACGCTAGATGGGCCGGAAGCATGCGAGCGCGTGCGCGATAGAAATATTTTTGCTGGTCGGCGCTGGACTCCACGCCACCCGGGTCGGTAGGTAGGCACTCTCTGGCATGACCCATAGGCGATAGCCCACAAGGCCACAAGGTATCGCAAAAGGAATTCTGCTACCGGCGCCCGCCGAGAGGAGTGGGCTAAAAATTCAGGTGAGCCTCTTGGAGACATGGGCTGCGACCTCCGCTCCCGACTCGCGACAGAAGTGGGCTAAAACTGCTTCGCTCCGGCCCGACAAAGTTTCTGGGCTCAGCCTTGACGAAGCTGGTGCCTCCTGAAGCTCCAGTTCGGCTGTGTCGTCACTTGCCGCCAGCTGAAAAGGTCAACACAGTTAATATGAGCAGTTGACTTGGGTCAAAACTTCTAGAAAAGGACTGCGTGTTTCTTTTTTTAATAAGTAAATCCAAAGATACTACGACCTGTTCATCCGTGCTCGGCTCTGCTTTGGAAAGGTGGACACTTCACCATATGGAGACGCTTCCACGTCAAACCCGGAAGTAGAATGATCCATCATCTTGGCGGTACCTGAAAAATTGGCGATTATTATGATGCACCCGCCTTATCAGTGTGAACCCTCGAAAACATTGCACCAAAATACTAGCCAACAATTTTACACATAGATAAAACAACTCAGGTAAAAAGTTTACAGTCTGTACGGACTGTAAACAGTTGTTAGTCACTGCTGCCACGCGCCAGTTGAATAAAAAACTGCAGCACCCAGCGAAAACAAGAAGCAACAAGCTACCTGTTCAACGAATGCGCTGCGCTGACCGCTGCCGTGCAGCGCATCGAGCAGCCGAATCAGCAAGCCTCTCGACGCATCGTCATCGACGAGGAACAGCACAACTCGCCAACCATCAGCAACAATCTATCAGCGTGCTAATAATTAATTAACGAGGGACGATCACGGATCAGGGGAGACCACCCCGTTTGGCTTACCTTATAATCCGACTTATTCAGCTTTTTTTTTTCAATCAAAAGAGTGTTTTTTCTCTCACAATAATTCACACAACAGTGTTTTCAACGATTTCAGTCAAACGAACGGTGCCCAAGTCTGCGGCCAGCAGCCGGAGCCGGTCAGGGCTGCGACTGCGATGGCAACCGCGCGGAAAAAGACGAGCGGTTGGCCGGCCGGCCAACGGCGCGCCTCGAGCGGAGGGAGAGGAGAGGAGGAAGGCGGGTGGCGTGCGTCTCCACAGCGGCCGGTCCATGTGGCGTCCGCGACAGCGACCCGGGGGGGACGACGCGTGAGAATTCACGCGTGACACGGCGACGGGCACGGGCACGGGACCCAGCCCAGCCGGCCAGGGAGATGACTATATGTGCCGACCGCGGCGCGATAATGCGGTTCCATTATGGAGCAGGTGGGCCACACGGGGCATAATTCTTCTGCGGAAAGAGGAGTTGATTGCTTCTCAATTCTCATTCTCGGTCTGAAAAAGTCTAGGCGGAGGAAATACGGGATCGGCACAGATGATTACGAGCCTGATGAATGATTGAGCAATCATCGCTCGTGCTGGTGTTTTCTGTACGAAAATCGGAGAGACGAGAAATGTACTACTAGGCCTGTGTTTGTGTTTAGATTGTAAGTTTTTTCACTCTCTCTATCATATCAAATCTTTGGACATATGTATGGAGTATTAAATGTAGATAAAAAAAATAACTAATTATACAGTTTGATTGTAAATTACGAGACAAATCTTTTCGAGTTTGGCCTATGATTGAACAATAATTATCAAATACAAACGAAAATATTACGGTGCAAAATACTGATTCCTAACCTCAATCTAAACCAGGTCTGATACAGTAATAGTTGTTGCACAAAGTTGCGTGTGACAAATACATACACCCAGCCCAACCCATTTGTTCATCGTTTTGGGCCCTTAACCACCGCCACAGCACCACCACCACCATTATTACACTATTCTTCGTCCACCTCTTTTCCTCCCATTCCCGTAGGAAAATTATATAAAAAAAGGAGATTAAAATCAAACACGTTCAAGAACAGCATAATAACACCGAAGACCTTTCTTTCTTTCTTTCATCTGCATGCCTTTCCCCTTCCGCTCGCCCTTCGAATCTTCTTGCAATTTCTTCCTCCGCCGCCGTCGTCGATCAGAACCTAACGATCTTGGCCGCGCGCACCACCGGGTTCTCCCGGGCGATGGCGTCCTTGCCGGCGCCCTTGTAGTCGTAGCTACAGCCGTGCCGGTCCGAGTACCGGTGCGCGCCGCAGAAGAGCTCGCCGCACCGGCACCGGAACCCCGTCAGCCCCACCCGCTTCCGGCAGCTGGAGCACCGGTTCACCGACGTCCTCGCCGTGGCCGCCGGAGCAGCGGCGACGGCCTCCATAGACTGGCCCACGGCTGCAGCAGCCAGAGAGCCCTGCAGCTCCACCGCTGCTGCGTCTACGAGCGCCGGCCTCGGCTGCGACACCGCCGCGGCCGCCGGCGAAGAAGCTGAGGAAGAGGAGGTAGGGGACGACGGCGACGACGACCTCGACGCCGTGGCCGCCGAGAAGCAGCTCTGGCACAGGTTCTGCGTCGCCGGGTTCCCCGGGAAGCCGCAGTTGTTGGCGCAGAGCGTGATCTCCGGCGCCCGGAGCTCCGTGGGCTCCTCCTTCTTGTCGCGCTGCGCCATGCTCGTGAATTAACCTGGCAAAAGGAACCCGAACAACCGTGCCTGTGTCTGTGTGTGTGCGTGCGCGCGCGCGGTGGGGCGGGCGGCCCGGCCGGAGCTTGCTTTTCGGAGGGTGGGAGAGGCAGGGAGAGAGAGAGAGACGGAGGAGGGGGAGCTTGCGAATTGGGAGGCCGGCTGTGAGCCTGTGATCCGCGGGGAGGGGGCGAGGAATGGACGAGAGAGGCGCCCGGGTTTTTTATCGGGGCGAAGTGGGACGATGGGGACGCGTCCCCTTCCGCGGACGCGCAAGCGCAGCGGCAAAGGCAACAGCGTCACCGCGACCGCCCCGCGTGTTATTTCCGGCCTCGGCCTCGTTGTCGCGTCGTCGTATCGACGACGCTGTCCCGGCCTCGCGTGCCTGCCTCCCGTTTTCGGCTGGGCCACCTGTCGCGACCTCGGCCGCTGGGCGATCGCCCTGGCGGAAACGGCGAAGGAACGTGAACAACATGGCGCGCTGCGGGCCACGGGCTGGGTGCGTCCGGAGCGGCAATGCTGGATCCAGAGAGCCGGCGCAAGGCTGGGTGCCGAGGGGTAGGATGGTCCCGTTTGGTGCGCTAGGATTTTCTATCAAGGACGCGGTCGCACGGACGGGTCGTGTGCTGGTTGTTACGTCCCGGCCGTGCGCGGGCGGGCGGGGTGGGGTGGGTTGGGTTCGGTTTGGATTGGGATCGGGGCAAGTAGCCAGCCGCCCGGGCTGACCGAGGCCGACGCGGACGCGCAGCCAAGGGATAAAGATACGAGCAGGAGGAAACGAAGCGAAACCGCCCAAAACCAACCGTCGGCGCGCGCGCGCGCACCGCCGACTCCAGCCAGCCGGGATTGGCGTACGATGGACGACCGCAGGGGCTTGGAACTTGGAAACCGTCGTCGCCGTCTCCCGTCTACCGCACGAACGTTCAGCTTCATCCTCCCCGTTCGGTCAATCAGTCAGTAAAAACTAAAGCCAAGCTCGCCGCGAATGGCGTCGCTTTCGGACGCTGAGCTGTCTGGATTAGCATGGCCATTCCTTTTTTCCCGTCTCTCCCTGGCCTGTCCATGTCAACCGTCTACATACCACCCCTCTGACAGACTGATGCTAGCAACAAGTAGCTGAATCGCTGAAAGACGAGAGGGAGAATACTAAATCGAGTGAGCGACCTCTTCTCTGGCCAGATTTGCATGTCGACATGGGGAACTCGTGGCCGTGCCTCGGCCCGCGCCATTTATCTTTTGGCTGCCGTGCATGAGGCCACGACGGACACCTCGCAGCCGCGTCTGTTACCAATTCGCTCGTCCGGAAAATTCCATCAGCTCGAACAAGGCGGGGGTTACGTTCTCCATCATGTCGACGTTAACAAGGTGCCCAACCGGGGACGTACGCGATTCCTTCATCGGGATAAGCTGCAGATAGCTCTCTCTCGCGCGCGCGCCGGGGAAAGGACGCCACGCCACGGCAAGCAGCTTGCTTTCCCCAGCTGGCTGGCGTCGCTGCAGCGGCACCCGAAACTGGCAACTCGCCAACCATGCCTTAGCTTGTGAAGTGAACACACGGTGCCCCGATTATCACTCGAGGGACGCGCGCACGCGCGCGCGAGGCACCCCAGCTGTAGCCACACGAAGATTGGAGGACGGCCGGTCGTGATCACGATCGCACGGTGAACAGCGGCACGCGCTGCCGACATCGAATTCGGATCCGTCCGCCGGCCTGCGCTGCAGGGTCCAGCTGCGGAGCGCACCAGAAAACGCATGCCCGCCGGCGCCGGTCCGTCGCTCGAAAGGGTGGAGACCGAGCACTGCAGCTTCGATCAGTGATCTGACAGCTCAAGAGCAGCAGCTAGATAGCTAGTTGGATAGAGTGCTTTTCTCTCCGTGGGCCGTCTCTATCGGCAAACGGCAAACGATCCTCAGCTTGGGAGGATGAGAACGAAGGCCATATCCGGCGAGATATTATCTCGATTGGTAGCACTATGTGACACATCGCCAAGTTGTGCAAGCCACCAGCAGATGAGGGAGATGGTTTTGCCACACAGGATAGCAGATATCTATTCTGGATACCTGGAATCACGAACTGGAACCCCCTCACGGCGACAGCTACTGCTGCTTTCTGGCGCACAGGATGCTCGATGTGTACATGCTGTTCTTAGATAACAAAGTGTAGGATGCAGTGATCAGGCTGAGAGAGTTGACACAAGAAATGGCTTATGGTCAGCGCATCAGTTCAGATTTTTCGGGCCCTTTGGAATGTGAGAAAATTCCTTGAATTGCGTTTTCTATGAAATTAAATTGATTACTGTGAAACCTTTATGATCAATATAAAATTACTGCATTTCAAACGTGCCCTTCCGGTTTTGATGCTGCTGCCTTTGCTTTCGTTTTCTCTTCAATATCGTCTGAGTCATGCGAATTGTGAAGTGCATCGATGCCTAAAGTTCAGCACTTGATTTTCAGCCTTCTGCTTTGACTGTCCAGCGCAGGGCACGCGGCAACACGTAGTTACATTCCTTTTTTCTGGTCCAAAAAATCAGCATTCGATTCAGAATTTTGCATTTTCTTACTTCATAACTTTGCACAAAATCTCGTGCTAGAAACAATCAAAAGGGCACCTTGCCACATGTGCTCGCACTATCCACATACTACACGGCAGTACGACACGAGCCATAGGTTTAATCAGGGAAAATTCGGACTATTTTCACTTTTTATTCACACATCACCAAAGCCTCTGCACACAGCAAAGCACTGTCAAGCATCAGAATTGGCAAACACACCACGCTTGGTCACCGTTCCGCTTGTGCCTCAGTGGGTGAGCGAGTCCTGCTCCGCAGCAAGGTCCTCGCAGATCCTTTCCACAACCTCCTTCCCTCTGTCCGCGTTTTGCGTGAACCTCTCCACCGATTTTTTTTTGTTTTTTAGTCTTTTTTCGAATTTTTTTTTATAAATATGCCTCTGGACATATGATTTTAAAATCTGGACGCTTAGCTCGACGTCATCGTTGCTGACGCCGAGCTTATACATCTCGGAGCCATCATTGCTGGCGCCGAGGCCTTGGGCTCGACGCAGACGTGGCGGTGACTTAGCAGGCAGCTTGGCGCCGTAGATCCTGGCGCCGAGCTTGGCACCGTAGATCTTGGCGCCGAGCTTGGCGCCGTGGTTATTGGCGCCAAGCCCTGTCTTACGTATGGGCCCTCCCTTCCTTTCTCTCTTCCTCTCTTTCGCACCCTTTTTTGAAACTAGCGCCGCCGCCGCCGCCAAAGCCATTCCGCGCTTTCGCTCGCGCTTCGCCTGCCGCCGCGCCCGCATCATCCAGAGAGCTTCGCCGTGCCGTGTCGCCACGCTGAGCAACGGTTGTCCAGCATTGCCCGCCGCATTGCCACCGGCCCCTGCGGCGCTTGGTCACGCCATCGCCACCGCCCGGCTCGTTCTCACTCCACGCCAAGACGCCAGTCTGATGAAGTCCGTCCTAGGGCCATTTATCCCGGCGTACGCTGCGACTCCGTCGACGTCCGCGGCCCCGGCCACGCCACCGCCGGCCCGGCTCGTCGGCCTCACCCACGCCCGGCGTCCGTAGCGACTCCGTCCTAGGGCCATTGATCCCGGCGTCCGCTGCGACTCCGTCGACGTCTGCGACTCCGTCATCGGACAGGTAAAAATTGTTATTTACTTAGTTAGCTTTGATTGTAGTGTAGTAGTTTTGGCATTTGTTATTTACTAGTTAATGTGATGACTCAGGTAGTTGATTTAGTTAGTGATCTAGTGAGATAGATATGTCGATAGATAGAAACATAGATACATATGTACATAGATATAGTTAGATAGCTACTTAGATATATAGTTATATATTTAGTTAACTAAATAGGATCTAGCTATTTAATGAGTATACTGTATATATATACGTAGTTATTATTTTATTTACTTAGTTTGTAGTTAGAAAGTACTTGTTAGGTACTATCTATCGTCTAATTTGGATTAAAGGACATGTGTTTCGTTATGTGTTTGAACTAGATGAACAATCTAGTGAGCATATATCATGGAGGTACCGTGGAAATAGATCGCTATGGATATGTTGAGTTTGTTGAGATGTAAAGCGTGCCTGTGTTATTCAATGAGAAGCCATCGTTTAGTGAGTTGGTTGCAAGGGCTCAGGAGGAGCTATATTGCCATGGAGCTGATGATGATGATGGCATCGCAGTGGAGAGTGTACTTCACCTAGGTCCTCCTCCCAACATCCTTAGGAAGATGATCCCAATTGGGTGTGCAGACCAGTGGGAGAACTATGTGAGATCGACTATGAAGTGCCAGTTCCAAAGTTTGGACGTGGTTGTGCATCGGGTGTTAGTTGATCCCATCCCTCATGGGTTTTCCCCACCAATGGGTCAGCAGGCACACTTCGACCCTCCCATCCCAGAACCTGATATGGATGCGGAGGTTGCACCTACGGTTACCGATGCTCAATCTACCCCCAATATGCTAGTTGGAGATTCTTGTCAGACTCATGATGTTGTGGTAGATCCTCCTCATGAGATCCCTTTGACATAGAATCATCCAAGTAAGTGTCTTATCCGCATGGTTATTGGGAGCTTACCCCATTCCTTACATCCAATTTTTTATTCTTTCCTCATTTTTCTACTTATGTTGCAGTAGACATTCCTGATAATGTGGATGTGCCCACTGTTGCTGCGCAAGTGCTCTGTGGAGATGGATTCCGTGGCTCCAATAGTGTTGAAATTATGAATGATTTAGAGCCATATGAGATGGCAAGGCTCTTGATTCTGATGATGATCGTCCTATTGGAGAGCTGACAGAGAGTGATGTTGAGATGCTGAGGCGTATCTTTCCCGAGCGCACCGTGATCCAAGAGTTCACGAGTTCAACGATCTTACTCATTTCAATCAAGCGTGTGCAGAAGGACGTGATGATGAGCTCCTAGAAGCTCCTGAGGCCAGCCCTAACATGGTAATTGAGAATGGGAGTGTACTCAAGGACTT